ATTCATATCTTTACTTTTATCTTCTTTTTCTCAATTCTATTTTTCGTTTTACATCACGCATCTACTGTATGATCACTTTTCTTCTATTTGTTTCTATTATCAAGTCGAAGTCAACTTTTCTTTTATAGACATATGAAACAGCCTAAGAGCATATCGGCTCAATTTGCTTTGCATCAAAAATTAGACGCATTCTTCTGAGTTGCCGAGCAGCGAAAACCTCAAAAACTTGCAAAGTTCACAATTCCGTCAAAATCACCAGTAACCGCGTGAAGCTTTTACAAAATGTAGCCTTAATAAACATAAAACACTCGGCGTTTCAGACTAACATCTTACTTACTTTTCGAGGTACGGATAGTTTAATTTTTTTGCAGTTTTGCTATTATACTTTACATGCAGAAAAACCCTTATCTTTCCAGGTTTTAATGGCTAAAGTAGTCAGACCTACAGACTTCATTTCTCAGAAAGTGCCCTTTCAAAGTCAATGAGAAGTTTCGAAATAGTTGCATAAAGTCTGGTATTTTAGAATATTTCCAAAAATACGACTTTACATAACAATCATGTGTCCTCTCTTTGATTTAATAGTGGTGGTTTGCGGCCAGAACTACAGAATTCTGTGGATTTGAATATTTTTGGGTAAGAGTTGAGGAGTTATAATTATTTTTTGTGTGCATAACGATAGAATTTGCAAAATAGTCGAAAAACATGAAATTTCTGTGTCTCGAAATGTGCGTGAGCGGCTGACCTGAAAGTTTCAGCTTATTTTGCCGGAGTTAAGTACGAATCCTCAATTTCTTCGGTTTCCGCTAAGAAAAATATGAAATGTGTCTAACTTTTGAGGGAAGCAAATTGTGCGGAAATCTTCTTATGCTTTTCGTAACTTATATGCTACCAATCTTACTGAATATCAACGAAAGGAAGTGGCGAGACACTACGTCAAAAGGTTCTTTTGGAGAACTGACACAAGTTTATTAAATAAAACAAGGGAAAAATTTATCTAACATTACTTTACAATGAAATCCAAGATATCCTCTCAGTTATTCACCTCTCGTATATTATTTCTATGCCCACTGTTTACGAATTCGCAATTTGTCGCATATATTTCGCCTGGGATTTTTTGATTCATCAGGATTGAAACTAACTCGTTTTTAAGCTAGCTTTCCACAGACTACTGACTTAAAAGCCTTATTCACTTTATTAAATTAAAAAAGATCACAAAAGAACCTTTATTTCTAGTTTAACATAAATCACCTGACAACTCTGCGTAGGAATCTCATTATTCACCATTCTCTCTGTCAAAAGTATGATGTTGTTTCAATTTCCCTCCAGCTGGACCTGCATTATAATGACCGCTTTGATTCCCTTGTGGATTTCCATCCTTGTAATCGACTGCATTATCTTTCCTAATCGAAATAAGTTCGTCATAATCATTTTTGAACTCATATTGAATACAAAATTTTCCTTTATTATTTTTATCCGGAATTCTCTCTGGATGATTCAATGGGGCTTGAGCTGTGGGTATTCCATTGTGATGTTTAGCTTGACGAAATGCTGCACTTGATGTTTCACTGTGAGTATCTTTTTTGTCGTTGTATGTCGGAGGAACGGCAGATTTGGATTTGCTTCGTTTGGACATGTTCTGCTTTTTTTCTTGGTCTCATAAGGTGCTGGTGAAGGAAGAAGTTTTTGAAGTGCGGAATGACGTTTATGTCAGCTTATATATGTGTGGGCAGAAAGGGAGGAGAATAGGTAAGCTAATATAATTTAACACACAAAAAGAGTTTTTTCCCTTTCTCAAAAGAAATGATTTAAAGTCAACAACAATGACAAACTTTCGGATTAT